ATAAATCTAAGCGTTAAAAAGTGTACTACTTTTTAAACATAATATAAAACTTATAAATATTAAGTTTTGCCTTTTAAATTATATAATAGCCTAGTAACTTGCTAGTGCTATATAAATAACATATTAATTAACTATCTAAATAATTTTTATATTACTTATTTTAATAACATTTTTATCTACTTTAAAAATAAAGCAACTTATATTTTTTATATTAAAACAGTTTTAGAAAGGGTCTAGTAAGTAAAATTATAAGTAAAAATTAAGAAAGTAAATTTTATATTACTTATATAAAGTATTTTAGCTATATACTTTTAAATAAAAAACTAAAGGTTAATCTAAAGAAAGTTAAAGTACTGCGTAACTAGTAAGTGCTTACTACTATAATAAGTGTAAAATCTTTTCTAGGCTTTACTAAATTTTATTAAGAATTTATTTTAAAATTTTTATGTATAGTAAAACTAATTATTATACGATAAAGTTTTACTACCTCTTTTATATAGACTTTAGAGTGTAATGTGGCCTTTAAAAAGCTAAAGTTAGCGCTATTAAGTATACTTATGCTTTACTATTTTAACTTAGTGTTATAAACTAAAATTAAAACTAATGCTTTAAATAAAGTAGTAGTAAAAGTTTTTTTTTAGAAATAAGTAAATAAAAATTAGTGCTTTATTTTATTTTATAGTAAAGTCTTATTTAGTTTAGAGCTAAACTAGAAAATATATAATAAAAAGCTATTTATAATTATTACTATATTTAAATAATAAAAGGCTCAGCTTACATGTATAGTAACTAGTACTTTAGTATATATAAATTATTATTTGTTAAAGTATTCTATAATAATAAAAGTACTTAATGCTTACTAAGTTTATTAGGCTAAAAAGTTAGCTTAGTATTACTTCTAAATTAAGTACACTTCTAGTAAAAATAACACTAAAGTAAATATTCTTAGCTATTATAAGTAAAACATAAAAAATTTAAAAGCAGCTTAAACTAATAACTAGTTAAAAGTCTTACTTAGACTATACTAACTTTACTTTTAAATTAACTATAAACTAGCCTAGTACTATATTACTTAAATAATAACATAGGCAGCTACACTAAATATTATAAAAATACTAAATTAAGTTATGTTTTTAAATTTTTTATAATTAATTAATATATTATTTTAAAAAAAATTAAGCTTTTTTTACATAAAAGTAAAAACTCTTACTTTACTACTATTAAATAGAAAATAGACTACTTTTTTATACTAACTACTTATATATGCTAGTAAACCTATTACTGTGTACCTAGCTTATTTAAGAAGTTTATAACTAAGTATTCTTAGCACACTTAAGTGCTACTAAGACCTATTAGTTACTGTCTTAAGAGTACTACTAAAAAAGTATAAAAGCTACTTATAAATAATATATATAAAATTACTTTCTTTATTATAAAGCTTATTTAAAATAAACTTAAACTTTAAAGTTTATTTACTTCTTACTAATTTCTAATTAACTAATATAGCACTAATACATTAACTTTAAGAAGTGTTTTAAAAATAAGTCTAGATATAATTAAATTATAGTTATAATTAATTACTTATTTAAATAAGGTATTTTTATTCTTTATTCTAAAATAATTAATACTAATAAAATAGCTACTTTATTTATTTAATAAGTGCACTATTTTAGCTATACACCTAAAACTATTATTTTAATTAAAAACTTTAGTTTATATTTAGTTTCTAGTTTAAGTTTTATTAAATTTTAAGCATAAAAGTTAAGCTTTTTACTAGTTACTATAAAAAAATAAATAGCTAAACTAAGATTATAAATAAGTACATTAATTAAAAACTAAAGCTTTTTATATTTTTTTACTAAAATAACTAAAGTTTTTTACTAACGTACTTTATAGGCGAGTTGCTCACACACCTAAGATGCTTACTTTTGCTAAGACCCTACTCTAACAAACTCTATTATAGCCTATAACAACCTGCTCTAGCACTATATAGTATAGTACAGCCTAGAATATTATTTAGATACTACTTCTACTTCTTACTTACACATTTGCGTGTTATGCCTAGTCTAATTACACTATCTGCAGCGCCTTTAGAATAGCTTACTTACTTTAGCTTACACCTGCTTTTTTACCTTTTTTCTATTACTGCGCACTTTAAACTTCTTTAAAGCTATTAAGTGTAAGCTTTTCTAAATTATTAAAGTTTTTTTTACTTTAATTTACTTTTTTTTATGTAATTTATATTATGCAGTAGCTTTATTAGCTGCTTAAAGCTTAATAATTTCTTATTATGCTAACACTAGTGTTACGGTCTACGGTTGGACCAGCGTAACTCCACCGGCAGTGCTCCACAATCTAGCTGAGTTAAGGAAGGGCTCGCTTACGAACTAGTCGGAGGACACGGAAGCAGCGCAGCTGCCTTCGATTATGGAAGAATGCGTTGTCTAATAAGGAACGAAACGCCAGAACCAAGCAAGCTTGGCGCGTTGGAACGAGCCGAGACGAGCTGGTAACAGGACTAGTTGTAGGAGCTTGTCAGAACTCGCCAGAGCTCCCCTTAGCGCATTATGCACATGTATATAGTTTCTATATTAAACAACCTTTAGAAGGCGTGTTTAATGTTTAGTTTATTCTCTACATAGACTAAGTAGCATTTAGCTTTCTAAAGAGCTGCAATACTATTTATATATCTTGCACTATATATACCTCTAATTCTGTCCAACAGGACCGTTTGACCCGGCCTCTATACCGCCGCACACAGGGCAAACCACGATCCGGTCACTCTACCTCCCTCCAATAGCCCAATAGCCTGTACGTAGGTCTGTACACCCTACTAGATTGGCCCCTATCATTCGTCCAACTCCCCCCCCTTAGAATAATAGAAGACCTGAGTGCTTCTAGGAAGCAAGGATTATAACATTAAACACCACCCCCTCTAAAAAGTATAGATACCTCACGACACGACTTGGATTCTAACATGGCCTATGCCGCGCCATCGGGATCCACAGAAGTTCCCACCTAAAGCGAAGCCGTCCTGGCGGAACAGATTAATACAATCCAGGACGACATTAAGGAACTCTAGCAGATTAGTAACAAAGTCAGCAAACTATTAAAACTTAAGCAAGAGATTACTAACCTACGCCAAAGAGCAACAGAACTGCAGAACCTTCCTAGACCTTCTAGCCTCTAGGAAGCAACTAATCAAGCCCATTAAATACACAAACTACAAGTAGAGCTAGCAAAAGTGCAGTATGATATCACAGATAAAGAGGAACAATGGCAGTTCTTTATTAAGATCTAAGATTAGTTCCCTTTACTAATTATACAAGACATTATAAACTAATTAAAAGGAACCTAGTACTTCACAAAGTTTAACGTACAAGACAGATTTAACAAAATAAGGATACAG